TACGAGATACAATCTTGATAATAGGTAAATGATTTTATATTATAATTGGCTAAACAGGAACGATACTATCGAGGGAAGTTTGTGGAGCATATGATCCAATTGTTTATTGTTCGGTAAAAGAAAATTGTATCCAGAAATGTGGAGGAAATCATAATAATGCTTTGTGTCTGCAACGTATATGTTGTTGTCGTAACCAAATAAATTGATTGAGTTATTATTTTACTATATACTGAAACCAAATCATTTATCAATAAATTATCCAGTTATAATATTATCGCTCGATTGGGTTTATACGTTTGTCATGTGAATCTTAGAAATAAGATTCAGCGAACCTTTTATCTTTGTGTAGTTTCGGTTAGTAGATTGTGTAGCGTTGAATACTTACTCCATATATTTATGTTCCCTCGCGGACAAATCTTTAAGATGTTTCAGCTTGATCCGATAAAGACAAAACTTTTTGATGGATCTATATATCCACCTTCGACTTGTGTGTCATGAATGCATGGTTACATGGTCATGTTACACGGTACTGAGAACACTCGCCGATTAATGATTAGACGACTACAAGAATTCCAAATGGGATACTTCTACAAGAGTTGGATTTATCTTTGTCTACACAACTTTTTTTTTTATCTTTCCACACGTGCCAAGACAGATAAATCCAACTAATTCATGAGTCTCAAAGTTCTATATATAAAAATTGAGTGTCTCTCACAAGGAATGGACACTTAAGCATCTCTTATTTTGACACATCAACTTAAAAAAAAAAATCAACCTACAATTATGTGGCTTTCTTTTTTCGTTGACTGCCTTTTCATCTTATTGTTTCAATTTACCTTGAAAGTTTCAATGTTTAATGCTCAATATCGAATCGAAAGTGAAGCTAGACATATCTAGTTTTCTCGATGACAGAGTTGCAGAAATGTATAAAAACATTAAGCATACGAGTGCATATTCTATAAATAATTTTTTTTTTCTTTTCGCAATTCTGCATCGAATGACCTATATATATCAGTGTAATACATTAGTATATGGATTAGATAACCTATATAAAATCTGACATCCTCTTCATTTTAAAATAATTATCTCTCTCAGCTGTTCTCTCATTTGATTTAGACATTATGTCTTCTTAATGTCTACGAAAAGCAACCATGATCTGTGCCATTTCACTGGGAAAACAATACATAAGCAAACATAAATTAATAATACACTACATTTATCGCCCTTAAAATTTTTTTTTTTCCGAGTCTTTTCTAGTTTCTCACAAAGTTTTGTGGTCTTTTATTTTGTTATAACGTCATATATAGAATTATTAGAAAACATCATGTCTCTGTTTAGCAATAGATTTGTCCCTTAGGAGACAACCCATTCCAGAGCATTTCCAACAACAATTACATAAATTAATTTACATATAATAAAATCACTTTATTAAGATATTTTTAATAAAATTTAATGTGTTTTTAAATATGCTATATTATATTTTGACATATTAATTATTCAATTTTGTAAAACTTATGTGTGTTTTACATGATTAATCCTATTCACATTTTCTCTCATAATTTTTGTTCTTAACATATTTCACTATATATATAAATGTCTAAACTTACAATTTATGTGATTTAAATGTGCATAAATGATAGTATACCACAATTATTTATGTCATTTGCCCCCTATTAGACAAAAAAAAATGATAATATGCATATACTTTTATGTCACAATTATCTACGTAATTTTGTAATTATCCTGAATATCGTCTAACTATAAAAACAACCAGCGGGTGTTAAAACATATTTCATATAAACTTATAGAGTAAAACAAGTCATCAAAAAATGGTGTCGTCGAAGATTCAGTTTGTTTCTCTTCTCATTATTGCTTCACTCTTTGTCAACAATGTGCAATCTACTCGTGAGATCTCTTTTATGTCTATATTTTCATATAACAAAAAGAAAATTGTAGTAGTGTCTATATGAGTATATATATGTATGATCCGTGTGGTAATATATAAAAATTGATATTATGATTGATTAAACAGGAATTATGGATGATCCGTCACAAGATTGTGAATTCAAATCAAGAGCTGTGGAGGCACCTTTTAACAATGCTTTGTGTGTGCCTTATGGAAATGCTCGTGTTTGTTGTTGTATATCAATGTAATTTGATTGCTATATTACTAAAATCAATAAATTATTTGATTAATTGATATATTATAATATATTGAATTATACTAGATCGGTGGTCTAACCGGAATGAACACACAATTAGACATTTATATATCTTTTGGGGTCAAAATGGAAATATCTAGAAGTTAAGGGGTTAGAATGGAATACATACAAAATAAGCTTCACTTCGTTATAACCAAAACCTTCTTCTTCTATCAACAAGTTTTCAGTT